TCGCCAACTAGGGCCGATTCCAACACCTCGGGCGAGGCCGAAACCAGCGCCGCGAGTGCTGCCAAGGACACGCCGAGCAGCTGCATTGCAACTGCAGATGGCCTTTCTCTGCTATTGAACGCTGTTGACAGGTATTGCTTTGAGAAAACTGGCCAGATGCGCACGCACATATACTTTCAGATGTCGAATGCACAATGCAGGCATCTGCATCCGAAAAGGTGCTTCCCACTCCGTTACCAGGGTAAACAAGCACTAGGACGATCTAGAGTCCAGAGTATGATGACTTCAGACTGAACGGCACCAAGTCGCTTACCTTTGCTATGTAATTCCACCTGAAACGGATGGCTGCAAGCAGACTTTTTGAATTTGGTTCCAGTTCCTGCACTTCCCAACCGATTGAAAGCAAGTAGTGCTACGGCCGCTAGATCTGACCAAGGAGTCGTAGAGACAAGAGGAGGTGACCAGGGCACACCTATTGAGTGTCGACCTGGTTCCAAACGGTTTTGTGCAGCCACATCAGGCAGCATCACCTGTTGGCATCGATCTTGTTCCAGACCTGGGCCAGACATGACTGCTGCACTCTGGACAGCACCGCTTGCACAAGACGTGACATTCAAAACATGTCATGCACCTGAACACATCAAACACCAGATCTCTACACCACATGGTTTACTTTACAGTGCACCTATCCTGTAGGCGGAAATGTCAGGAATTGTGAGCTTGGCATGCTTGCAGCCCAGGCTACACCGCTTGGCAGCTTGATGAACTTGTCTGCATAGGCATCCATCTTGTAAAGACGTGCACGCAGCTCCTGGCCCTTCTTGCTGGCATCATTGATGTTGGCAATCAAAGACGCGTAGTCAGCGGCCAGCTGCTGGGCATACTTGTTGTCGTACTCCCGCTTCTCCGGCTTCAAGTGCATGACGAGAGAGTTGCTGACGTTCAGCACGGGAGATGTCGGAGCCTTGAGTGGGAAGGGGAAGCTGCCGTTCGCGCGCCAGCGCTCCGGGTGCTCTCCGTGGGGACCATATGGAGAGGAGGTGATCGTGTTGCCAACACCCCAGCGCTTTCGGTCAACGATCGTGTTGTAGTTCCACACGGCCTCCATCTCCTTGTCCAGGTAGATGAGGATCTTGTTGATGTAGCGGGCACGAGGAGGCAGGTCCTTGCCGCT